TGGTATCCATTGAAATGGTCAAAATCTGGGATACCTCAAGCATTGTATCGTGACAAGGTGACAGATATCTCACAAAACACAAGATCACGATGTAAAGAAACGGAGAAATGGTTCTTTTAAAATTACCGCTGGTCCCTGAAAATGTTGGTAAGAGTAAATGTCCCCCCAACACACACACAAACACACATCCTTATACGTCTTTCGTGAATGATGTCATGCGACTCAAATAGAGTCACACAAGAGACTGTAGACCCCGGATGAGCGTAGTAGACCAAGTTTTTTCCAAATGGGAGATCAAATTAATTTCTAGCAAAGCGCCCACACATTCCGCTTAACGGTCTCAGTTCATAATGCTCCTAACTGGGTCCGTAAGCCATAAGTATATAGGGTAGACATTTACTTGAAGCAGACAATGTTGAAGGAGAAGTGATTTAACCAGTATCAATTTTGAGCATTGATTTATCATTCTGTGAAATCTGTTCCAGTTTACTCCGTCTTATTGCTGCAAAATCTAGTTTGAGAGTGCATTACTTTTTGTCTTAGAACGGCCTCAAATATTTCTTTTTTTTTAGAGCGTTACCTGAATACCAAAAATCTTATATCTCTTGGACAAAGATTTGGCATTTCTCCCTTGAATGTGAAAGGAGTGGGTTCGATTCTTTGACAAGGAATTTAGTTTTTAGTGTTTCCATTTGTTGGGATGTTGTTCATCCATCAGCCCAGGTCGGCCGGTACAATCTTAAGGTCGATGAGACAAGGATCGTAATTAATCTAAAAATTGTCACAATCTAATTTTTAAATGGGTTGGGGGGTGTGGGAGTAAAACATTTACAAATAATCTTAACCAAACTTTTGCTTTTGTATATTTCTTTGTTTGTTTGTTTGTTTGTTTGTTTGTTTGTTTGTTTGTTTGTTTTAAAGAAGACGTTGCCATCCACTAGATATAACTGAGCCCGAAGCCTCATCAGCTTCTCGTAGCATTTGTCCCGGCGATTTGAAAAACCTTTGCTTGCAATTCTGCCCCTGTCCAGAACGACAAAGAATGCGAAGGCTGCAACGACCTCTCCATGTCTCGGACCGACCCCATCCACTTTCTGCCCACGATGCCCATGAAACGCGCCAGGCCTGTGTGGATGGTCCACCAGCCAAGCTTTGTCATGTCGGGCCTCGGCGAGATGCCCCCGGACAAACTGACGCCTCTGGATTTGTGGTACAACACAGGTGCGAGAACAAGAGCGAACTCTTTGGAATTCGGCACGTTAGTTGAATTTAACGACTTTTTTTTCTCAAACAAATTAGAGTTATTCTAGAGGAAGGGTTTGGTATGATCTTAGGGACTGAGTCACAAGAACCAAAGAAAACGTTTTGAATGACAAGTTGAAATTGCCAAGAGGACAGGTAAAGCGAACAAAATGTAGTACTGCGTGACAATAAGAAGCAGAACACACACACACACACACACACA